CAACCTCTCGAAAACCAAAATAACGTGGCCCAATAACAGAGAAAGTGTTGGCCGGAGAGTGCAGAAAGCGAGTGCCCCTAGCATTGCTCTTATAACAAATTAAGCCAAGAAACGTATCTTTCAGTATCAAGGACACGTGACGATAAAGCTTGCAAAATCCGCGAATAACCCAAAATTTAATGGAAAATTCACGTGCTGCTCACATGACCATTAACACCATTAATTATTGCCGACATGACTATAATGGTAGTGGCATGTTAAATAATTGTCCCACATGACAAGTTAAAATAATTTAAATTACATATTTAACTTTAAATTAATAATTAATAGTTATCTATTAAATAGTTAATCACATTAATTAATTAATAATTATTAACTCGATTAATGAGCCCTCACCATTCTTCTTCAAGCTCACCTTTCCCATTTTTGCATTTTCCTTATTTGAAAATTGTAGGTTTTTTATCAAAAAAAAAAAAAAAAACTGTAGGTTTTTTTATTTATGTGCATCTCCCTCTACTCTAATCCAAATTAAGCATATGATATATCACCAGAAAGCTCTTTTATTTTTTTAGACCTTTCTAACCATGTAACATTCATACTATGAATCATTGTCTATGATTTATGCGAATTTTTTGAAATATTCAGCTATGAAAGCTTAGGTTTAAAATATCAGTAAGCACAAGAAGACATTGGCTACCAAAAATTGCATATTTAATCTAGATACAGGGAAGATCATTTACGCCAAAAATCACGAAGTAATAGTAAGCATGCATCAAATTGCCATTAATATGCATTGAGAAAGAATAGCAAAAGGAAAGGGACCAAGTTAAAAAACGGAGGCCACCTCTGATTTAGTAGATGCTATTTTGGTGACTTAGACCTCTACAATTTTGAAATTTCTTTCGCAATAATGGGATGCTATTATGCTAATAAGGTCCCCAATTCCGTTGAATAGAAGCTGCTTAGCATGGACCTTAGATCTTTCGGACACAAGTTCTTACCTAAACTCAATCTCCTCCTTTGGAAGTCATTTCCTTTTCAAGGTCCTAAAATCCTCCATGTGCTCCTTTCCTTTAATTTTAATTGGCATATGTATGTTTGGTTACTGAGGAAATGGCAAGCTTGAAAAATTCAAAGAGGGATGAAGGGCAATTTAGGTAATGAATGATAAAACACATTTTTTATTTTAGTTAAAGAAGGCCTGAATCTTCGAATTTTCTGCCTTTGATTTGCCCTTGTACTGTTCAGATTTTCCGCTGAAAGAGGGAAGAATTCCAACAGCAGTGAGATGATTTTTCTTAGTTTAATTCATGTAGAAAATTATCTCGATTGGCTGCTGTGATTTTGGAGAAAAATCTTGTGACTTGTTGTGTTGCCAAAGCCCTGTTTTTCCCATTTGTTTGTCCGGGAGTCCACTTGGGAGAAAAAAAAAATTAATTGAAATAAAAGCCTTGTTCCCCATTGTTTTATCCGTGAGATTTGGAAACCATTTATATATGTATTTGTGTATATAAATGTATATATACACAATCCGGTCAATGAAAATAAATAAATAAATGAAATTGCTTATAGAATTAATTCTTGGATATTTTGGTTAGGCTCTTGATCCTTGGGGCACTTTAGTACGTGAGTTGAGTCTTCAGTTTTATGCGAGTGAGGTAAGTAAATTTATAGTAATGCCTGTACAGCTCTTAAAAGAATACTTTAGCTTCTTTTGAAATGATGGCAAGACTAAACTCATTTTACACAAATATGAGGATGACTGATTTGAAATGAAAGTATTATTATTTTTATGAATTTGAGCATGCCTACTTAGAATTTACTTGACTGCCCTGATGAGCTGGAAATTATTTGCAAATTATGATTTTCCTGTTAACTTCTGCCTGTTTTGTCTCCGATATGGTCATGTTATTCGTGTGCCCGCTAGTGGGAGGTTTATAAACGCTAGCACATGTCGACATGTATTGCTGTAGAGTCGGTTCCTCCTGCCAGTGGGAGTTGTTAAACACTGGTATTTCTATAATCCTGCCAATGGGATTATACACTAGTAAATCGTGTGCCTGCCAGTGAGAGATTTATAACACTGGCCATGACCTATGGAGGAGGCGTCTATTTCATTTCTATACTCGTATCTGTTTTTCGTGTTTATACTTGTTGGCATGCTATAAGTTTAATTAAGGGCTATCCATATTTACTTATTGAGTTATCTCATAGTTTTTCCTTGTCCACCATTTCAAGAAACGAAGTCAAGGACGGGGAAAAACGAAGGGAGTGACAAGTCAGAAAGCTAGCCATCTTGTAAATTGAACATAGATTTTAGATATAAATCATGATTTTGTAAGTTAGACTTTATCTGGAGATTTTATAATATCAGAGCAAATTTTATAATTTTATCTTCAAATTTTGTGATATCAAATTGTGGTATGATAAAATTTCAAACCTCATGCATTTGTGAGACCTTCTCACAAGTATACGGCATCTGTCGCGCCTCAAATTTGGATTTTGGGGCGTGACACAAGAAGAATGAGAAGCTTGTGAACACACAACCCACGCATGTTCCTGTTGAAGATGACTACAAAGATTGATCAAAGCATTGAATATTTGATTACCAACAAACCAAATTGTGAATGGAAAAGAATATATTTAGATATATACCAGGAGAAGTGGTCGTCGACCTGATTTGTCTATTAAGATTACTCCCAAACTAGTCATCACTATCTGCAGGAAAACGTTACCTACCCTTTAGAAATGCAGTAAATAAAAGGTAAGTTAGAATTATGAAATGGACAATAATTGGTATATCATTTATTTAAACACACTTGATAACACTTATTAAGAATTATTATTTTTAAATTTGAATTAAAGGTAAAATGAATTTAAAGTTGCCAAGTTTTAATAATTAAATCAGATGGTGTATTAATCATTTTTCTCATGAAAATTACCAAAAAAAAAAAAATTTGGAATTGTGCGTGAAGCTATAAGTAATGACCAGTACAACAGCTGCTGCAATAGTACCAGCCTTGCTTGGAAAACCTAGCAAAACCATGAATGATGGTTGAACATTAGTCCCATCAATCCTCATTTTTGTCTACCTTTAGCTGATTAAATGAGGATATTACATTAGTTGATTAATTTACCAGCTGATTCAAAAATCATAGTTGCTTAAAAGGAAAAAGCACTGAGTCCTCCAATTTGTTGGGAAACCATCAGCCGGACGCCAACA